ATGTTCCTCTTCAAAACGCCCCCAGAGGCGGTGACCATTCTCTTGAGCCCAGGGCTCCATACCCTCCTGCTGAGGGGCCTTCTCACTGCTACTGAAGCCAGCCTTGCCCTGGGCGTCTGAATGTCTCTGTCTTAAGTCAGGATCTAGCATGACAAAGAGACCTCTCCTTCCCCACAGGCATGCATCCCCGAAACTCTAAGGGACCCAGGAGACTTGCAACCAGGGGAGCACGGGCAGTGGCAGCTCGTCCCAGGCTAACCCCCTGAACCTGTCTCCAAGGCCCCCTTTTTTCTGACTTCTCAAAGCAGCCCAGCCGAGGCTCTCCTACAGCTTCTCCTCCGCCCTTCCTCGTTTCACTGTCCTGAGTGTGTTTTTGCTGCAGCCAATAAATTCGTGTTTGCTTTGCTACACTTTGTCTCTTGACTGAAATCTTTCCTTCAAGACAAGAACCAAGGGCTCATCATCTCGCCGGCCGTAGTGCTAAATAAATGATTAAGGAGGAGGAAAGGAAGAAGGTGAGAAAGGAAGGAAAGAGATCAGTGAATAGAGAGCTAGGTACTAGAGGAAGCATGTCAAACTCATGGCCCGCGGGCCCCATGCTACCCACAGTGAATTTTTTTGTGGCCCAGCCAATATAACGGTATATAAGAAACGTTCTAATAAAAATTTTGTAACTTAACTTTTACAATATCCTGTTATACATAATTAATAACAAATTACAACATTAGCTAATGACTGATTACTACAGGGGTCCTCAAACTTTTTCAACAGGGGGCCAGTTCACTGTCCCTCAGACCGTTCAAGGGCCAGACTATAGTTTAAAAAAACCTATGAATAAATTCTTATGCACACTGCATATATCTTACTTTGAAGTAAAAAACAAAACGGGAACAAATACAGTATTTGTATTTGCATGTGGCCTGCAGGCTGTAGTTTGAGGACCCCTGGATTACTATAATCATGTTGCATTCATTTCCCTTACGTCATGCCTAAGCACCATTTCTCTCCACCAATACTAGCAGCGAATATTTTAGCAGCCCACTGCCATGTCATTAGTGTTGGACTGACTTGTTTGGTGTGCGCAACAGGAAATATTTCGCTTTCAGAAAACAAGAAAAATGGATTTATTTGCATTAAGCTTATTAATTTCTGCAGTTATTCAGTGTCTGGTAAGTTAATGTTAAAAAAATTAATTTTTATTAAAATGTTCTATTATTTTGTTAACGGTTACTCATTCAACGGTTACTCTATCAAAATAAACCTACGTTTCTATGAAAATTGAAGCTTTTTTTTTACAGCCCACATAAACTTAAACCTTGTTTATTTGGCCTGTGTTAGCCTTTGAGTTTTACCTGCTTGCTGTACAAGGTCAAACCACAAGGAAATGACATTGATGTGGCTAGAGCTAGGCCTTCTAAGGCTCTTCCAAGTAGAGGTCCACCGGCAATACTGCACATCTTCCACTTCTCTCTGTCTCTCACATACACACTCTTCAATGATAATACAATTTCACTTATAAAAATGAAAACAAATCACTAATATCTCTTAAAATGCTGACAAGTGTGGCTTTCTCAGTCTGGGTAGGGGCCAAAGGGATTCTCTGCGTCTGGTCAACAAGTTTTAGCCACCACACCACACTGGGCTGCAAGGAAAAGAGAAACGACACTGACATAAGTCCCAGGCTCCTGGAGCTTAGAACCCAGTGGAAATCTATGGATTTCCTCACTGAGCTACATTCTAAAGACCCAGACTCTTCAGTGTAATTGTACAGACACCACATCAAGCAACACAAGGCCTGACAACAAAAAAGGTAGAACCTACACCTAAAGAACTTGTGTGGAATTGGTTCCTAATTATAAAGAAACAGTGATTTGAGAAAAGGCAACATATCATCAAATACAAAGACAGTTAACACAAATGAAACCCCCAAGTTCATAGGGCTGCAGACATGATCAGGACTATGGCAACAGTCTAATGGGTCTCCTGCCTTTGGCATTTGCCACCCCAAAGCATCCTGCACTGCCACCGCAATCTCTCTAGAGTGGGAGACCCTGGTGCACCCAGCCGTTACCTCTCCCGCCCTCTGCCCCCCATGAGGTTGTGTAGACCTGGCACACTCACTATACCTGTATAAGGCAGAATGACCACTTATTTGACTGTAAGCTCCCAGAGGACAGGTATTTTGTTCATAATCCTAACTCAGAGAACACTTTGTGACCAAATGAATGGAACAGAAACTCATGGTTTATACTGTTGTCCAGTGAGGACCCTCAGCCTGGCTGAGGTCAATGCTGCAGGCTGGCTTCATCCTGCTGTTTGGAATCCTACTCATGGCAGCCTTGATACTGTTATACAAACTGCAAAGATCTGGTCCCAGTCAAATTAACCAGAGTGGCTGATGGAGTGAAATGGGAATATTCATCAAGGCCAAGATGATACAGAAACAAGAGGTGGACATTATTGAGAGGCAATTCTCCATGGTATTTCTCCACATCTGGTGTCAGGGTCTATCCCAGACTATCTTTCTCACAGCTGTAGATGGTGTTTCTCTTCTGGTCGACCTGGGTAACATGATACTGTCCTCTTGGAGATAAGGGTTAGGAAGGTTTGCTAGCAGACCCCTTATAAATTTGGAGGGTTCCTTGCTGTAACACAAACCCACACTGTGTGCAGCATGTACTGGGGTCCTGAAAACCTGGGGCACAGGATAACAGATGAACATAAAGCCTGCTGTACCATACATAACAGGCCCTTTCTGACCAGAGTCCCTGTCTGCTGCCACATCTAGAAAACTGTGGCAGGTTCACTGCTAGCCTGCCAGCCTCCCATCCTTCACAATTACTGACAGTAATGTACACCACAAAGATCATTCTACTCAGGTTATAAGTTCTTCACACCAGAATCCTATCCTATATAATAAAAGCCTAA